GGGGGCGAGGAGGGGTGGGAAGAAAAGCGAGAAAAACTTTCCTTTTAGAAGTTAAAGAATATTTTCATAAATATTATTTTGGAGCAGAAATCCCTCGCCTGCTGAACTGCAGGCTTTCCCCTGCTTCCGGACTCAGCGCTTCTGGTGACCAGAGAAGCGGCTCCAGACATCTGCTGTCTCCAAACCCAGGAAAGCGAAATTAAAACAATGAGGAAAATGTGCCTGAGCCCAGCCCTGGAGGTGGCACTCCGCTGGCTAGCAGCGACACCTAGAGCCCAGCACACCGCCGGGAAGGGCCCCCTGTCCCCAGCCACACCGGAGAGAGTCACGGGTGGGTGCCCAGGAAAGGGGCCCGGTGTCCTCCTGCAGCTGGCCAGGGCCAAGGAGCAGCAGTGCCAAGATCGCTGCTGGTGAGCGGGTCACCGGGAAGAGCCAATTCAAATCCCTGTCACTGCTGTCCCCCGGGGCTGTCAGCATTCAGTCACCTCGGGGAGAGGTTTAGGTCGATTGGCCCCATCGCTGACTGAAGTGCACTTGCTCTGTGGACCACTAATGTCTTTATGAAGGGACGGGGGAGTGGACAGGGATTTAAAAGATAATCCGAGGACTGCATCCATAACTCCCTCCTCTGAGAGAAGCAACCCCGCTGTTGTGGCTTGAAGCTGTGCCTTGCTTGGGAAGGCTCCCAGAGCCAAAGCTAAACCCTGCTGCAAAGCTAACGCGTCCCACTCGGGCAAGAAGTATTTTTAACAGACACAAACATTATTCCCAACTGCAGCCATTTGCTTCCCCTTGTGTGTGCTTCCACAGAGGCAAAACACGCTCAAAATCCCTCTGCAAAACCTAACACCAGCCAGCGATGCGGAGCCACATGTTTTGGTTTATCACTGGCTCTTGTTCCCTCAGTCTTCCTGCTTTCCAAATCCCTCGTCACCCCGAAAGAACCGGGGGCAATCGACCCAGACTAGTTTAACTCCATCGGACACAGCAGGCAGCCAGCGGCCTGGATTAGTCACTCGTTACTAAGGCGATATGCAGATGCACCCTTTGAAGTCGCTCTCTCGAAGCAGCGCGGAGCGGAAGGTGCGCGGCCGAAGTTTGCGGCTTCCCCGCGGGGGCTCGCCCGGGGGCAGCGGGGAGGGGGGACAGAGACACCCCGAAACGGCTTCTCAGGGGTTAAAAAGTTTCCTTGCTGCCAGGTTAGGGGGAGACTGACAGGAAAGCGAGGAGGGAGGGACAAGGTGAAGACTTCTGCCCCGGGAGAGTGTTAAAGGGTAAAAGACGGAATAGAAATAAAATAAAAATTTAAAAATATATATAAAAAAATAAAATGGAGATGGGGAGCTTTGTCACGTAGCTTGGGGACAGCCGGACGGAGCTGGCACTTGGCGTTTGCTGAAGTGCTGACCCCACACCCCCCAGCCCCGCTCCATGGGAGGGAGAGCAGCGCAAGGAGCTCGGCAGCGGGGAAAGCTGCGGGGGCGGGCGAGCCCTGGCTCCCCTCGACTCCCAGCGGGCTCCGTCCCGTACCATCCCCGGCACTTCAGGGGAAGGAGACGAGCGCAAAGAGTCGCCAGGAAGAGCGGACAAACCGCAAGAAATCGCTGCCAGCTTAGAGGGGCACACAGCCATCCCGCAGGACAGGGGGCGGGGAGGGGGGGGCACCCAAAACCCAAGCCAACCCCACGCGAACGACACCGGCGCTTACATCCTCCTCCTCGCAGTCACTTCGCGACTGGTACTGGAAGCGGGGCCGGCTGCCTTCCTGTTGCAATGGACGCGGGGTCTTGCCGGCAGCGCCGTCCTCCTCGCTGCTCTGGGCGCCCAGGAGGTGACTCGCTTCGGGGGGAACGGGGAACGAGCGGGAGGTGTTGATCTTCCCGCTGAACCGCTGGTACAGTGAAGCCATGAAGTCAGTCCGCGGGAAACGAGCGAGAGGGAGGGAAAGAGAGAGCCGCTTCTTTTTTTTCTTCCCCTCCTCTCTTCTTTTTTAGCTACAGCATGCTACACGCGGGTGAGGATCAGTCCCACATCAGTGGGAGGGAGAGCGAGGAGGATCCTGCTCCCCGGTCCTCTGCACCGGCACCCGGAGAGAAGCCGGGGGATTCAAGAGAGCAGAAACGGGGGAGTGATGAGAGGAAGAAGACAGAAGATAGATAAATAAATAATAAAACGCAATCGAGCCGTAACACCACAGGCCCCGGGAACGCTGCACCATCCAGTGTTGGGAAGGGGGAAAAAAAAAATAGAAGAGGAAAAAAAAGAACCAAAACACTCCACGAAGACGTACCCCCGATAATGGCGCCTGAGTGGATCAGCATTAAATGTGCTTTGGGGGTGTGCGTGTGTGTTTGCAAAAGCAGGGAAAAAAAAAGAAAAAAAAAAAAAAAAAAAAAAAAAAAAAAAAAAAAAAAAAAAAAAAAAAAAAGGAAGGGGGGCTGGCTCAATCGCTGGCTGTCAGCGGCTCCCCAGGCAGAGGTGGCGGAGCAGTCGCCTCCGAGGTCGCATACCAACAGTGTGCACAAGCGACAGGCAGAGTGACAGAGTGTGTGAGACGGAGTGGAAGAGGCTGGGAAGCCTCATTCAAAGCACGTTGCTCTTCGTGGGAAGGAGGGCCCTTCTACGATCATCTCCTTTTCGGTACCTTCTGGGGCTTTTTCCTGCCTATTTTTTTTTATTATTTTTTTCCCGGGGAAACAACTGAAAAAAAAAAAAAAAAAAAAAAAAAAAAAAAAAAAAAAAGAAAAAAAGAAAGACAACAGACACCTGATCGCCAGCCGAGAGAGAGAAAAAGAGGTGGGGAGGGGGAAGGCGAGGCTGGGAGGCGGGACCGGCAGCTGGAGGGGCTTCGGGCGGCC